ACACTATCCTTAGTGAGCATGTGCTCTTGATTAAATTAATTTACCTTTCAGCTCCCCCAAGTGCTGTTGACGGGTAAAACAGTTATACAGGTATCTGTATCCTGACTGTCAGGATGGGAAGAAGGAAAGGTTCATGAACAGAAGTTAAGTCCACTATAATTGTAGAAACTCTTAAAACATTGCTAGACATAACTGCCTCCTAGTAACTCCTCAACAGAAGCCTAATCAAAAATAGACTAGCAGGCTATCAAAACAGACCATCAACGCCCGCACCATTACATTTAACAAAAATTAAATTTTCCAAAGGGTAGCTTTCTAGATTGAATGGTTTACTCTTCAAATAAGTTAAATAATTTATAAATTATATAAGATATATAAACTGGTACAGCATTAGAAAATTGATTTAGTCTTGTTAACACAAGTTCATTTTCACAAAACACTGGAGAAGAAATGTCTACCTGTCACTGGATCAATGTTTTTTAAACCTATAGGAATTATTCTGACTGAAAAAATTTACTTACTCCCTTTTGAAAGGCCCTACATAAAGCCTGTCATACATGTATTTGAACTTGATCATTTTTTAGGTTAATTGACAACGTTTTCCCAATGAATAATATTTTTTCATTCAAATACCCTGGAGAAATTCCGCATCAATGTTTAAAATATTTATTTTTCCTCAAGATCACATATGTTACAGCCCAAAGAATTTTGGGGTGGGAGTGAGGGCTGCCATTTGTTCTTTGTGCCGGGTGCACAAACTTTGTACTTCAATAATGTTTGTTCAAATGTTAACATTTTACAATGTCTACTGCAGTTTTTCTTTAAAAGAAAATTTTTCTGGGTCTTTTATAAAAGGTAAATAATACTGCAAGAACAGTAATTAAGATAAAAATAAGAGAACTTAAGTTTTTAGTATATCATGGGTGAGCTTTTACCCTGTTTCCCCCCAAATAAGCCCAAGTTATTTTTGGGGAAACATGGTACTATATATAAAGTTACCATCAAACCAGGGGTGAAATCTACTTATTTTCCCTACCGGTTTGGAAGTGCATGCGCAGACCCTCTGCTCATGCGCAAACCCTTCTGTGCATGCGCAGAGGGTAAAAAACAGATTACTTCCTGGAAGTAACAATGACTCGGTGGGTGGGCAGAGCCTCGCACTACCGTTGCTACCGGTTCTCCGAACCACCCACTGCCATCGCTACCTTTTCAGCTGAACCAGTCCGAACCGGTAGCATTTCACCCCTGCATCAAACACCCAAACCTGTCAAGGGTTGCATTCCCTTAGAGCAGGGGTCTCTAACCTTGGCAACTTTAAGCCTGGAGGACTTCAACTCCCAGATTCCCCAGCCAGTTCAAGTCCGCCAAGCTTAAAGTTGCCAAGCTTAAAGTTGCTAAGGTTGGCCTTAGAGCAGTATTTCTCAACCTCAGCATCTTCGTGTGATAGTCAAGTTCCATAAATCTTGAAGTCTACATATCACAAAGTTACTAGGATTGAGAAATATTTCCTTAGACGTTGTTGGGATAATAAGAAGACCTGAAGAGGAAGCAGAGGTAAAAACAAAAATATTTTTTTTCTTTGTTTTTCTACTGCAACCTTCTCTCTCCAGGCTCTCCCCTGATATACTTTTCTTACTAGAAAGATTTTGAAGTAATCTCTTGCTGAGGGTTTTTTTAAAGAGCCACATGTTCCTTTTGGGACAGAGGTTGCCCTCTTTTGTCCTAAGCAAAGTTATTGATAATCACAGATAATGCAATATACTTTTTTTTTTTTTGCAAGATGGAAGTAAGGAGCAGTTTCCCCCTAGCTACAAATATTTTCCTGCACAAAATCCTTTGAAAAGAATAGATGCACCATAGAAAACAACCATAAATCTAGAATATAAAGAGAAACAAAGGATTGACATTCTTTATACTCAGAATGTGAAAGAGTAAAAAATCCAATATTTTCAAATTGATAACTGAATAAAAAGCATTACAGGAAATTCAGCATTTGCCATTAGGTAGAAAATCCATTTCTCTACTAAATTTGTCTCCAATCCAATGGAAAAACAAAAACAGAGCACTCTATTCTACTCCAGAAATCAAAAGAAGCAGGCTTTTCAAAACCTATTTATTTTTCTTTTGTTATTAAAACAAGAAAGAGCCTTGTAGCCCTTTAAAGACATTTTTCCTGGTATAATTTTTCACGATCATTTGAATCTTCTATGGCAAGGCTCTTTATTTTTCCTTATATCTCTTTTAAAAAAGTCAGCTTCTGTTACTGAAGGATCACTTTGAATAGCATATTAGTGGGACACAGTGTTAAATGAAATATGCAATAATGCATACATTTTTCCAGAAAACAAATATTTTTACTATGGAAGCCTCCTGCTAACTTTAACATCAGTTTGAAACAACTTGGCTTTTTAAATTTTGCAGTAAGGATCAAGAGGGGGAGTGCAGGCCAAAACAGGTAGTCCTTGACTTACAACCACAATTGAGCCCAACATTTCTATTGTTAAGCAAGAAAGTTGTTAAGTGAGTTTTGCCCCATTTTACGACCTTTCTTGTCATTGCAATTAAGTTAATAACACAGTTGTTAAGTGAATCTGCCTTCCCCGTTGACTTTGTTTGTCAGAAGTTCACAAAAAGTGATCATATGACCCCAGGACCAGGGGTGAAATTCAGCAGGTTCTGACAGATTCTGGAGAACCGGTAGTGGAAATTTTGAGCAGTTCAGAGAACTGGTAGTGGAAATTTTGAGTTCGGAGAACCAGCAAATACCTCTGGCTCACCCCAGAGTGGGATGGGAATGGGGATTTTGCAGTATCCCTCCCCTGGAGTGGGGTAGGAATGGAGATTTTGCAGTATCCTTCCCCTGCCACGCCCACCAAGCCACACCATGCCCACCAAGCTATGCCCACAGAACCAGTAGTAAAAAAATTTGGATTTCATCACTGCCTAGGACAGTGCAACTGTCATAATTACATGTCAGTTGCCAAGCATCCGAATTATGATCATGTGACTGTGGGGATGCTGCAATGGTCTTAAGTGTGAAAAACAGTCAAAAGTCACTTTTTTCAGTGCTGTTGAAACTTCAAATGCTCATTAAAGAATGGTTGTTAAGTCAAGGAGTACCTGTACCAAAGATCAAGAGCCAGTAACTCTGTCTTGCAGAGATACTGCAGTCAAAGAAATACTGTACCGGAACCAAGAGGGATCTGACTAGAAGAATAGTTGTAGTTCTGATAAAAGTCATGAATATATCCAGACAATAAAAAAAAAAATCATGGACCCAAATTCCAAAGCTGGACGTGTAAGGCAGACTGAAATTATTGTCTAGAGTAGAGAGCTTCCAACACCGCCCTACTAAACTCTTGGCAATCAATGCCTCCCAGACCTTTTTAGTGCTCTTTCGTCCCTTACACCCCCCTTTTCTGACCTGACTCCTGGGCCCAACAAGCAACCCAGACTGCCTTTGCTTATTCTTGCTTATTTATATTCTGCTAATTTTATTTATATTCTACTAATTTTAATTCATTTGGTTTGATATTGGAGCCATCAAGAATCAAGTTGGAGGCAGGCTATACCTAAATCTAAAAACAATAATAAATTCTGACCTACTCCTCAGAGGAAAAGCTCAGGTCATAACCAACTGCAGGATTGTAAATTAATCCTACTAATTTTGCCCCATTGTTGCAATGGTGACCAAACGATTCTTGATTTCCATTTCCAACTTCTCTATGGAAGGTAATGCTTTAATATCATGGGAACAATCCCACTTTCTTTCTTTTATACTAGTGCAACATTTCTAAATTACCACCTCTATAGTACCTTGCGATGCTCTATCCATTTGTCTATTTTTTACAGGACACGGAGCATATTACCAGGAAAAAGTAATCTTCCTTTTATTTTCTAAGAATGCCTTTGGATGCTAATGTGTAATGCCTTGAGGCATATTTGAAAATGAAAATGCCGGTTGAAGTGTTTTGCTTTGCAGGACATCAGCTTCTCTCTCTCTTTTTTTTTTTTTTCATGAAATATACCATTAAAAATGATTGAAGGTAAATATGGCAGGAATCTGGCAGGTGCCAAAGAAACTATCTAAGAGCTCTAGTTGCTATCTCCTGACTTAAGTCAAACATCTAAGTGTCTTACATTCTGTGGCCAAAAAGATTGGTCTCTTGCTATTGGTTAGCAGCCACTGTTCAAGACATGATGTCTCAGCTGGTCATTATGAAGTAGAACCTCATGAATTTGAATTCCATAGCAGATCCTGGCATCATTCAATAATTACCTGTCTATTCCTTGCATAATCAACTTGTGCCGCTAAAATGTAAGCTATTTTCTGTTGTACTTCACAACCTCACAAAACCCCTGCTCCTTCCTTATGTTTTCTTTGACATCTTCTCTTACATCAGTACTATTATCATGAATCTGCTGGTTCTGCACTAGATGGCATATTACCATTTCTATAAATACATGTGCCAAAATACATTTTTCTGATTTCAGCCTTAATCTGCATCAGTATATATAATCAATAATTTACTAAATGTAGGCTACACATTAGCACAAAATGCCTCTATTTTCATATGGTCAGATATATGAGCAGAAATACAAAACATAAGATATATGCCCACAATGGGGGAAAAAATCTACTAGAGGACGTAATATCAGTATTTGGGGGGCGGGGGGGGAGAAATTTCAGATCTGAGAACATTTAGAAATAAATAAAATAATTATTAGAAGTCAGCATGGGTTTGTTAAAAACAGATCATGCCAAACCAATCTTATTTCATTCTTTGACAAACTGACTAAATTAGTAGACCAGCAAAATGCTGTGGACATAGTATACTTAGACTTCAGCAAGGCATTCGACAAAGTAGACCACAACCTACCTTGACAAAATGTCATTACTCCTCTCACCCACACAAGTGAACTTATTCCTGTATTATCTCTTAGCTTCCAGAAAAGACTCAGTTCTGTTTCTATTTAGGTGGAGGTGCTACATGTCATACCTGGCAATAGTTCTGTGTTAAGGTATTTTCTGGTGAAGGTTTGTTGTGGGTCTCTCCTTCCCGTTGGCTGCAATCCAGTTGGATGAGTCTTCTGCATTCCTGATGGCAGGTGTATTTGCAGTCTAGGGAGGAAGAATGTAATGAACTGTAATTAAGATATGGAATAAATACTAAACACCCTTTTTCCCCAATGTGTGCATTTTGCAGCACTGAAGACACCGCAAAAGGTATAAACCAGTCTGAGAGATGGAGAATGATTAAATCCACAGTTAAGCAATCAGGATCTCAGAAATCAAAAATGAAAAAGCAACAACAAACTGATGTCATTGATGAAAGTCTATCAACACTAAGACATAATTACAAAGAAAAAAGTTAGTATCCTCTTCAAGGTTTGATTAGCCACAGCTATCCATACTTTTACTGCATATATAGGATTGCACACTGGTTCCTATCCATATAAACAAACAACCCCCTGGAAAATAGCTCCCCAAACCAATGTGTTGTAGCTTCCTAAAACAATTGCATAATCATAGGCTTCATTTCACACAAAGATCAGATGAAATCTGAAATCTGTGCCTAGACTGTATAATTGCATACTAAAGGTGAGGGAACTGCAAGGCTGATATTTTTTTGCAGAAAGAAAAAAATAATATCCAAGACTACAGTTAGTCTCACTAAGTGGAAGAGATTTTGTATAAACAGTCAAAAGATGAAGACCACATCTCCAGCCTAAAGTGGTTCAGCCCAGAAAATACCTTTTACGTCATTTATTATTTACAAGAAACAGGTCAAAAATCTCTGTAATGAAACCTGGAAATCATAATTCTGAGAAAAATTCTATGTTACCCTTTCTGTTCAAACAGTGTGGCACAGCAAATGTTCAAGGGGTGGGGGGCAATTTAGTCACAGCACCTAAAAGAACCTGGTGGAAAAAGATTTAATAAAGTAGAGCCCCTTATTCTCATAAATGAATAATCCATAATATAAACATTTTATGCCAAAATCAATATTTATGCCATAAAACACTGTTGAACATGAGAAGCACTCTACTTAAGGCCAACATCTTTATGTCTTAGATCGATGTTTTAATTGTGATAGGGAGAAAAACCTCTTAGTTTTATTTTGTACATAATGTTAAGTACCTCAGCCACATGGGTCTGGCTTATCATTCAAAGAGGAACTAGTGTGGTTTGTGCTGTTGTGATAACAACACATACAAAAGGTGCTATATATGTTTTGGACTACAACTTGTGGATTTTCCAGTCATAAATGCTAAGAAGCAATTTGATGACCCAAATATCTGATGAGCATTCAATTGCCTAAATAATGGCAGTAAACTGATCTAATGTGTGTTTACAAACTGCAGCTAAAGCACTTTCACAATTAATAAAGCAATTCTTGTCCGCATAGCAGGATATAAGAATGCAGGTAATGCTATCTTTATATCTTTCTTAGAGCTGTCCCACTGGCATAACTGACCACTTTTGGAACCTGATGGACCTCCTAAACCATTAGTTCAATCCAACACAACTCTTTTTATATTTGTTTGGCTTGAGCAAGCTCTCAGGTAAAGTGGCCATGAGTCAAATAAGGTGCCATTCATCACAAGATTTATAGAAATTTCATCTTCAGATTAATCATTAATAGACAGTCCAACACTTTCTTTAAAACCATGAGAGGAGCTGTGCCTAACATGCTTCCCACAGCAGAAATCCTGGCATAATACAGCTATATTGCTTTAATATGAGATAACATCAATGGTCTCAGCTGCCTTGCTAATATATTGTTATTCTTATTATACTAAGAGTCTGTTATTAGAGAACTGAATGTCTTTTCGACTACAGCACTTGGGATCCAATGTTAAGAGGGGGGAGAGAATAAAGAAATCAATTAAATCAAAAAGCCTGCACAGCATTGTAATTAAAAATGAAAATGTAAAAAGGCAGCTGGCCACAGTGTCTGGATGCCATTAAACTAAGCCTCCAGGGGAATAGCAATTCCTCTCATACACAGGTGATAATTTGGGAAGAAAGAAAACTGGCAATTTTTAATACTAATTTGTAATAAGTTAAACATATCTTCAGTTGGTCTGCATTCACAAACATACATGAGTTACACAAAACATTACTGTAGGAATTATTTAGGAATATTAAGAAGTCAAGTGTTTTTTGGGAACAACACACAAACACATTAACCAATGACAACAGGGACATTTAAATTGACTTATGGTTTGGATAAAAGGGATTTTCTGATAAGTGGTTTTGGGTAATGAAGGAAAAGGATTGGGAAACCTAGGGGTTTTTTAAAAGTGTATTTTCCCCCAAGTGTGCCCAAGTTTGTCCTGTGAACACCAACAGCAGAACAGTGCAATAGGGGCTTCAGACACCTGGAGTAACTTCTTTTGAACACTGTTTGCCTTTTACAATAAATAGCAGTCAAGTCAGTCTTGGCTTCCTACTCCTGTCCACTCCAGTTGGATTAATTAAACTAATACCTATCTTGCTTTGTTTTGGCTATGATTTATTTAAGATACAAAACTCCTGTTTCTTTCTATGTTAAGATTATATGAATGTAAATAATGCTTTATGGAATCATCTAGAGAGAAGAAAGCTAAAGTACCAACACTTTATTTACCCATCATCTTTTCCAATTTTAAGTTCATTCAGTCACTGTATCATAATTTTATTCCCCTCAATGCTATTTCCAGTTAACAAACAGCACATGCCAAAAAGGAATTGGAGAAGAAACTCTATCTCTATAATGACTTCTTCAGTTTGTAAAATCTTTTCATTAAGTGGACTTAAGACTGCCTGCAATTTCAAGAAGAGTGAAGCATGTTCCATTTCATTAAATTATTGCAGAAGAAATACTGTAATATATTCGAAAATGAAAGTCACTTCATAATCCATTTGATTACATTTAAATCTTCTGCCTACAAGTAGTATGTCACAAAGAACTTCTCTTAAAATGGGAGTGCAGAACTATCGGCCACATGTTAACCACCATCAAACCTTCTGTAACCTCCAGAACCCCCTTTAATGCCTGGGGGTTAAATGACAAAATAGGTATTAGTTCTATACATGGATACACCCTTGTAAAAACATAAGGAACTCTTTCACCTCTTATCCACTCCCTCTCCAGCCTCTTCCACAAGAAGGTTCTGGAATGGGGTCTTCAAGCTGACAGAAGTGTATCAAACAATTCTGCTTAACAAATGACATCTGGTACCACTCTCTTTGAATACTACTACTGTCCTTAAGAATATAACTTTATATTTCACAATCTGCTTTACCTGTGAGACGCTGCACTATGCGCTATTATCATACAAAGAAACAAAATGAAACTAATATAATTTTCTATATAAACTTACAAAATTGACTAGGCCACCCTGTCTGTCTAGGCTGGAGAATGTGGTGGCACGACAGCTTCCCCGGCACCTGGATGAAGCTATCTATCTGGACCCGTACCAGTCGGGCTTCAGGCAGGGGTACAGCACAGAAACGGCATTGGTCGCGTTGGTGGATGATCTCTGGAGGGCTCGGGACAGGGGTTGCTCCTTTGTCCTGGTCCTATTAGATCTCTCAGCAGCAATGAGGACCCAGTTTGTGGGGGCAATAAGCTGACTTTGTATAAATATACAAAAGGATGAAGGCTATTGCTGAGCACATTGTAAGCCGCCCTGAGTCTTCGGAGAAGGGCGGCATATAAATCAAATTAAAAAAAAAAAAGCAGCTTTTGATACTATCGACCATGGTATCATGCTGCAGCAGTTGAGGGGGTTAGGAATAGGGGGCACCATACTGCGGTGGTTCTCCTCCTTCCTCTCTGACCGTTCACTGTTTGTGTTGGCAGGGGGGCAGAGGTCGACCTCGAGGCGCCTCGCATGGGAAGTGCCGCAAGGGTCGGTTCTCTCGCCCCTTCTGTTCAACATTTATGTGAAGCCGCTGGGTGAGATCATCCGTGGTTTTGGGGTGAGAGTCCATCTGTACGCTGATGATACTCAGCTGTACATCTCCACCCCAGACCACCTCAACGATGCCCTTGATGTGATGTCTCGCTGCCTGGAGGCCGTGCGGGTCTGGATGGGGAGAAATAGGCTCAGACTCAACCCTTCCAAGACCGAGTGGCTGTGGCTTCCGGCGTCCCGATATAATCAGCTGGTGCCATCGCTGACTATTGGGGGTGAATCTTTGCCCCCCACAGAGAGAGCTCGCAATCTGGGTGTCCTCCTGGACACACGGCTGTTTTTAGAAGAGCATATGATGGCCGTGGCCAGGGGGGCATTTTATCAGGTTCGCCTGATTCGCCAGTTGCAGCCCTTTCTGGACCGGGATGCCTTGCGCACGGTCACTCACGCCCTTGTCCCTTCCCGGCTGGACTATTGTAATGCTCTCTACATGGGGCTCCCCTTGAAGAGCACTCGGAGGCTCCAACTGGTCCAGAATGTGGCCGCACGGGTGGTTATGGGCGCAACCCATTGTGCCCACGTGACACCCTTCCTGCACGAGCTGCACTGGCTCCCAGTGGTCTTCTGGGTGCGATTCAAGGTGCTGGTTACCACCTTTAAAGCGCTCCATGGCATAGGATCCGGGTACCTTTGAGACTGACTTCTGCCACCAATAACCTCCCACTGGCCAGTCCGCTCCCACAGAGAGTCTCCCCTCAGGGTGCCATCGGCCAAGTTATGTCAGCTGGCGACACCCAGGGGGAGGGCCTTTTTTGTGGGAGCCCCAGCCCTGTGGAATGAACTGCCCCCGGAAATGCATAAGATCTCCGACCTCCGTGTATTTCGCTGTGCCCTCAAGACCTTGTTGTTCCGGGCTATCAATGTAATGATTTTAAATTAGGTGTTTTAAATTTGGGGGGTTTTAAATTTGAGCCGAAACTATTTAATAATTTTAATAATTTTTAATTTTTAATTGATGTTTTGTCTTTGTGCTTTTAATAGGCTGTACACTGCCTGAGTCCTCCGGGAGAAGGGTGATATAGAAATAAAATTATTATTATTATTATTATTATTATTATTATTATTATTATTATTATTATTATTATTATTATTATTAAATACTAGGTTGTGAAATTGACTTCTGAAAATTAGCAAGTGAATAAGGGGACAGAAGGG